CTAAAATGAAATTTCATGATTTTTATTCAATTCCAGTAAACGTGACATGGCTCATAGTCTTTGTATGCAGTGTAAATAATAAGACATTGATGCAAATTATACAGAAGTATAAATGAGAAGTTTAAAAGTTTGAGGTCTTTAATTCAAAAATATTTACTTTAAATAGTTTGAAATGAATACCTACTATTGCAAGTTATGGATCGTTCTTCACTACTTTTTGTCTTTTTAAAAATTTCTAATTCCCTCACTCCCCCACCCCACTAACCTTTAATTTGTTAGGCATTTTAAATTTTCAGGAAACATTTTAGTAGTATATCAATTTCTGAATGAAAGCTTTAGCATGAAAATTTTGACCATTTTTGCTAAACTATGATAGAGAATGAATGTTGTACTTTCTCTATTTTTGCAATTGGTACAAAGATATTGAATCAGAGAGATCGAGTAGACTAAATTTTGTTCTTAGAATCTAGATATGCATCAAATATATTTAAAGCACAAGTCTGAGCTCTGGGTTACCTTTATTCAAGGTTAAAATGTTAGTGTCAAGGATAAGATTTTACAGTTCTGGTTGATTTTTGCTCTTCAGTTTCCTGGCACTCCACGTACCATCTTCCACTGGCACTAGACGATAGTCTAATTATTTAACACTGAGGCAATCGTGATAGATTATTTTAAGTCAGTTAAATTTGATTCGCAACTCTTCAAAAGATTTTAGTACCTGCATTAGAACAATTAAATCCTTGAATGCTTTTAGAGAAAGGCTGACAAGCATTTTGTAATAGAATATTCATACAAGGGTATGCTGAAACAGAATTCTGATTTTCAAAGGCATATTACTAACGAACGCTTTATGAGCAATACTTAGAAGATGTGAGAACTTGTTGGCAGAGTGTATAATTTTTAATTTGCCAGTGTATTTCAAAACACTGAATATGTCTGACTCACTTATGCAAAATTTTTCTTTGACATAGACTGTGAAATTTTTCAACCAGTGCCTTACCCAAATACTGAATTATTCTGGAGATGAGATTTTTATTTGATGAATTCCAAACTCACTGGCTGGAAAAAAAATTAAGTCAAGTTCTGCTTTTGGTGAAAAGTTTGATTTTCATTTCTAAAGGAGACTCCCTAATTTTCCTTTGTTTTTAAACACAGGTTAGTTATTATTTCAGGAAACCTACTTAGTTCCATTTTTTTTTTTATCAAACTGACTTTACCATCATTCTGCTCAGATCACAAGTTTCTTTGAAAAAAAAAACAGTATCAAAATTCTGTGATGTAATGGCTTAATGGAAAGCTGTTAAAAGGCAATCTTTTTACAAGTCAAAGTTCCTACAAGAATTTCCTCATGAGAAACACCAAATAGTTTCTAAAACCATTGACAGCTTTATAATATGAAATAACAATCTATGATTATCAAAATGTAGTGCCAATTGTTATGTACAATTTGGGAATTTTTAAAAAGTTTTCTAAAAACAGCATTGTTTTAATTTCCTCTATATTATTGATTGACTTGTGTAGCAACACATGCATATACACAAACGTATTCAAACTTTCCAACTGATACTTGTTCAGCACTATTTTTGTGGAGGCCAAGACAATCTGCACCATGTGTCACAGTCTTAAAAATACAGTACCCAAACACATCTACAGTGTAAGTAAGGCTTATACAATGATTTTAGATAAAATAAAAGATTATTTTTCCCCTTTAATATTTTTACCTCCAAGTAACTATAACCTAAACAATACTAAGAATTTTTATGAAGTATTTCCTTAATAAGTTTATGAGACTATTAATTGTTTTCACATAGTGCATTTGGCTTATCTAACTCTTCAGGTTTCTTATATTTTATTATGATTTCTCTCAGTTAACTGAATAAGAAACAGGTTATGTGTCCTGTAGCTTCTCTATGTCTGGGTTTCTTTTCTAATTGACTGCATTCATCTGGGGCCACTTAACATGATACTCTGTATTACCTGAAATCTTGTAGTTAAATATAGAAGCTTTGTGTTTCCTTCTTTTTCTTTCTCTTCCATTTCATTTATATAAAATATATATAACAAATGCCATCTAATGTCAACATAACCAAAGAATTATCTAAAACATTAATTTATCTAATTCACTTTTAAAATTTATTTATTTATTGTTATTTAAATTAATTTATTATTTAAGCTACTTTTCTTGTTGACAGCTATTTGTTTATATAATAGCCCTATCTTGATGGAAGCTTCATACTCAGATAGTACTTGCAAAATCTAAGCTGTTAAGATCACACAATACAAAATTATCAATATTCAAACGTATTATTTTTTATTAGATACTATTGTGTTGGAAGCAGGTTTTGTTTCTACATGGCTCCTTTTTCATCACAAAACCTGACAGGAGAAATTATGAATTTCCTATTGTATACCTTATAGTAGACAAGAACCTATTTTCTTTTACATAAACAACATAATTACTGTGAGGAGTTAGCACACATACATTCTTTTTAAATTTCTATCCCCCTTCCTTATCCTCTTCCTTCATCTTTTGATCTTCTTTCTACATGAAAAAATATCCCTTTCCATCATTACCCTTGACTTAAAAAGTACTTTACTGTGCTTTAAAATAGAGAATAATGGACTTTTTAAAATGTCTCCTTTAATATCTAGATTTGCTTAAGAGTACCTTAGAATTGCTTGGCATATTCTTTTGACTTAAAATTGTTGAGAATTGTTTGATAAAACTCAAAATAATAGATGTACCTCTTTCATAAACCACTACTCCTAAGTTTTATTTTCCTTATTGATATAATGGGAGAGAATTAATTTTAAAAGGTGATGACTATTGATTACTTAATGGAAGATGATAGTGTCAAGAAATGCTGAAGTGAGTCTAATCTGTGCCCTCCTTTGCAACACAACCCATTATCCAGTAGAAGAAATCACTTTGTAGTTTTTATTAATATTTAATAACCAGGAGGCAGACTGGGTGTAGGCTACAAAATTGCCATAGGCAAGGAATCTAATAGGCTATAAGAATGTTTTAAGTGTATGACAGAGTAATAGATTTCCTGTGTTCTGATTGTTTATAAGCAGGACAACAAGCCTTCATTTCCCTTCTGTGATCTCTGAGCATTGGTGACCTGATGAAAACACCTTCTAGGCGACTTGATGTGATTTATGCCCTAAGGAGTCTCTCTAGGTTAGTAAGCTCTACAGGGGAAGATTAGGCATTTTCCAGTGTGTGGGTCTCAATTTCATTCCTTTTCTTCCTTTCCTCTTGCCACAAGCAAGAGGTGGTGACGGGCTTGTTCAGCAGGGGTAGCAAGTCAGCAAAAGGTGTTAATTGTGTCTAACACAGTCATCATCCTTGACGTGTTAATCTGTAGCACAGTGTCCCTCAGGCTAACCCCTTGTCACATGTCAGGATCTTTTTTGCTTCACTTAAAAAGGAAACAAGGAGTTTTAAAGATAACTGTCAGGAGATGCAAATAGAGTGTTCTTAAGGTCTAGGACTTCTGAAGATGACTTAACTGATAGGGGCTGTGACTTCTGAGAGGACAGTGTCAGTTTCTGTGGTTTATTGACTCCCATTATTAATTTTCTGAATTACTAAGGCCATTTTTTTTCAGTATCATCAGCTTTTTAAAAAAAAATATGGCAAGTTTGGGGCTGGGGATTTAGCTCAATGGCATAAGCACCTGCCTTGCAAGCAGGCGGTCGTGAGTTCGATCCGCGGTACCAGAAAGAAGAAAAAGAAAATATATATATATATGGCAAGTTCAAAATGAGCTGAATTTCTTAAGACAGGATATAATCATGGATATTATAAAAGAACCTAAGATCAGGTATCTAGCATTCCAAGTAATGCATAAAATTAAATAGATTGTGAAGAATTATGAATTTTTGACTCAACAATTCCAAAGAATTTTGAAGATGTACTTAAGAGAACATATCTGGATTATTTCTAATTGTCCATCAAGAATGATTTTCATTGGAATAAAGATTTAGCTTTGTAAACAAAATGTATTCAAGGGAATAGTCTCCTGTTAACATATTAAGTTTGTTCTTAAAACCTGTAAATGAAAACGACCCATAGGTGTCATTATAATTCCACATGAAAAATGAAAAATGTAGTTTTATTCCCAAATTTAGGTTGTGTGTCTGTGTATGCAGCTGTAATTTATTAAGTCTCTGTGTGCGCATCCTCTTTCTGACATCGAGAAGAGAATCGCCAATTATCAAAAGTTAGTCATGACAAATGCACTCGTGTTCATTTTTATTCTTTAACAACCTTGATATTTGGGAGATACTATCGGAGTATACTTAGGTGTTTGTGTTTTTGTTGCTTTGTCGTTGTTATTTGTTTTTTAGTTTGCTAATACCACTTGCTAGAAATGAATTAGAGAACACACTTTGTACAGTTCTAAGAAGTTCATTATTCATTCTGCATCCATTCATTAAAAGAAGGTTCTGGGACCAAAATACATACTGTGAAATCGAAAGAAAATGTTCATACAGAAAGGTAGAGGAGAAAAGGGGAAAAAAGAGAATAGAGGGAAAAAATGGAAACAAAACTTTTGTAAATAAGGAAGGGAAGAGTGGCTGAAGGGAGGGGAGGGCAGTGGGAGAAAACATATATCATGTACAAATACAAATCCCACAGGAATGAGTGTTATCACTAGCATATCTAAAATGTGCCAATACAATTAATTTTAAAAACCGAAGAAGGCTAAGTTTGGAATTCCCAGACTTTTTGACCTTACTCTCAAAAATACTAACTATACTAAAAATAATTAAATCGAGATTTTTTCCAAAATGCTTAATACTACTATATAAAACATGGAAGATATTTTATCAACCATAAATAAAACTGTTAATAATATTTATAACTTCTATGCCTTTTAGTACTTCAGAAAAGAGCTTTTTATAGCTTGCGTATGCAACACACAAAGTCTTATTATTTTTAGGACTTCCAAACCTTAACTTTCCTTTCCTTTTCCCTCCCAATCTTTTAGCGCAGCAGCAGTTTTGGGAATTTTGATCGTTTTCGGAATAATTCCATTTCAAAACCAGATGAGTCAACTGAGGTTAGTATTTTATACTATTTTTATGAATGGTATATAAACATCAAATAAAAATGAGGATGCTATCACTTTTGCAAAGTACAGTAATGTGAATCAATATGTCTTCACATCATGGCCTTATATATATATATTTGGGATAACAACCAATTATTTACTTATTAGTACCATGCTGGCATTAAGGGAAAACCTATCTCAGAAGCCTACCAGATATTTGATAAGACAGAATATAAGTTTAAGAAGATAGCTACAGTCTAAAATAGCACTACAATTTCAAAGTTACTGAGTACTTACATAAATAAACATCATATATATATGTTGCCTATGCACTTATAATTGTATAATGTAGGGCCTGAGATATACCCCAGTGGCACAGCATCTAACTGGTGACCACGAGGTCTTGAGTTTGACTCCTGATACCAAAAAAAAAAAAAAAAAAAAAAAAAGTTATATAGTTTGTAACTGATTTAAATTAAGAAATGATCAAGTGACTTGATTGTAAATATTGAGTATATTGAGTATACTCAAATATACTTTACATTCCTGCTACATGCATGTCTCATTAGTGACTACTATCTACACATCTAAAAACTATACAATTTAGGTGTAGATTAAGAAAAACTTCCCATAAATCTAAGTTTACATAATAATATAATACCAATATCTAATTTCATTGAGTAATTGCTATAAAGTAAGGGTAATGATAACATTTTACTTTTCTGTAGCATAGGAAATATTAGTATTTCTATTTTGTGGTTGAAGAAATATGTTTGCTACATTGAGTAAAATTACTTTTATATTAGAGTTAGTAAGTGATGAACCTCTTTTCTGAGTTCCAAATTTGCTATTCTGTGATTCTATATCATCAGTTTGAAACCCATGGCAAGCGACTAATGAAAGGGACAATCAATAAAATAATAGTGATATATATTGAAAAAATTGAAAATACAGTATATATTTATTATGTAATCTGATTGAGCAACCTCCCAAGTGGTACATTATTTTTAGGAAAATAGATTGTAGGCTGTAGATGTTATACTTATCTACTTATGCATTTACTTATAAATTTTAAAATTTTAAATTTCAGTAATCAATATTCTGGACAAAAGAAGAAAAATAAAATAATATTTGTTATTACTTCATAAATACCTGACCATATTTGTTTGATCATATATATTTGTGTTTATATGACCTCATTAATTCATATATATATATATATATATATATATATATATATATATATATATCTTCCTTCCTTCCATCTAGATATTTATAGGTGGACAAAGTTATGCACAGCTGTATGGTCTATCAACATTAACATAATTATAAATAATATAATTAATATAACTTAAAGAGAGAAATGAGAGAGAGAGAGAGAGAGAGAGAGAGACAGAGGGAGACTTATTTCCAGTCAGCAACTTGGATAAGTTTTTAACTCTCCATAATCACACCTGCTACATTCTACAGGCATTTAGTTTATAATTCTGTAGTAAACTTGGAAAAGTAATTCAGGTGTTTTCAGGTTCGTTGATAAATTATAGTTGCTAATAATTTGTGAAAGAATATAGTTAACCTGATAAAGTAGTTAAGCATATGTTTCAGAAATCCATCATTCATTCTACATCTATTCAACAAATGTCTATCCCATCAGGCACTTAGGAATTATTATTTCAGTCACAGAAGTAAATGTTTACCTCCGGAAGCCTAGAGTCTAAAGAGCAGACATATTTTTAAAAGGCACCAGAAATAACAACACCATATTTGAATATCTAGGTGGAAATGTAGTTCAGGGTATGAAGAACAGCACAGAAAAGAACATTAAAATTTATAAGATATAGATAGAGTTTCCTTGAAGTTCTGTTAATATTGATAGAGAAAATAAAAATTATACTTTGTTTTGAAAGCTTACATAATAGTAAGGAAACATCATTTAAAATAAAATAACAAGCTTTCTTTCACATTTTAGTAAAATGATTTGTAATTAAGATGTAAAATAAGCAGAAAAAAGAGAGAAGAAAAAGCCTATCTCTAAATTTTTAAGGCGCTTCAAAATTATATTTTATTCAGAGCTTTTGAATTAAGTAAAAAATCTTTGCCTTTATAACCTTGAATACAGAAATTAATAAAGTGCAATGAGGGCTTAAATTGGCTGTCTTTTCATATTTATCATAGGCAATTTGGGGTAAGATATGAAGCAAAACATAATATTGATTAATAATGATGTTAACTGTGTGTTTAAACTTTCATATTAAAATATTCAAGTTCACTACAGAGATTTCTCATCTTTTTTTATATTCAGGGAATAACTGTCTGTACATTTATCCAAATGGTAATAGTGGGCAGTACTACACTACATGACCTTCAAATTTCATTTCTTGCAAATTTGAGGTCGTCAGGTTGAGTAACCCAAATATATCCTCCAAGTAAAAATATGCTGAAAAGTTCTACATGATGAGTTCCATTTATTCAAAGAAGTACTGTGCACCAGTTGTGCACCTGGAGGTATTCTAGGCACTCAGAATAAAGAAAACAGTTATGATCTCCATTATCATGTATCTTACAACAAATGGAAGATACAGACAATGATTGCATAAACAAACAAATATTGAGTAATGTTAAGTGCTTAGGAAAAATTAAATCAGCTTAAACAAACAGGATGTTTGGATAAATGTGAAGAATGATCAGTTAGAAAATTTGTGTCTGGTTACATGATGTGTAAATAGAAATGAATGGTTTAAGGCAGAAATCTGTGGATATTTAAGGAACCCAAGGCAAAGGCAGTGCACACCTTAATGAGAAACTGACAGAGAACAGTGAGGTTATCTTGTCAATACTTTACTACAGTTGTGTTTGAGCTTCAGTGTGCTCGTGTGTGTCACAATCATTCAAAGAACTTGTTAAAATATAAATTGTCCCTAAAGAGATTAATGTTGTTGATGCTGGGGCCACATTGTCAAGCCATTGTTGTAGTCAGCAAAGGAGATCTGAAAAGTTACCAATGAAGTAATGATATATCTTATTTCATACACACCCCATGAAATATATATCATTTTATAATGTATAATATATTAATTATATTGTGTCACATTGTTTCATATAATTATTGAGTTCATGTGTTTTAAAAACGTGTTTTCTGTTAAGTGGAAATCAATGCTTTAAGAAATTTCTTTTTTTAATTCAAAGAGAAAAAAGAAAGGAAATAAAATAAACAAAACAGTAAAAGGGTACAAATAATACAGAATTTCAAGGAAAAATATAGTAAGATATCACTAGTTAATAGGTTACATATTGTCATCTTTGAAATAGTTATCCAATTTATAAAATTAAAGCATGTAAAGTGAACATTCATACAATGAGATTGCAGACAGTGCCGATCAATGATCCAACAAAAGTTCAGTAATATGGATTTCCATCCTACACACTCAAACATACCTGCAGTTATATCCCTTAGACCACCTTTGATAAGCACCAGGCAGAACCCAGTTCAAATAAGAGAATTACTAAATAGAGCACAGGAATTCTATAAATAGCTGTACTAATGGATGGAACCAGATAATATGGCAAATGTGGTTAACATGCATATATTCTTACTTGACAAGGAGAAAAAACTGCAAATTTTCAATTATTTCAACAAACTTCAAAATTTCCTAAAAGTTACCGTGACCATGTCAATTTCTCTGGAATTAAGAGGCCACCTTAGCACCCATTCCATGCAGGTAGATGTTATAACCTTCCTAAGACTTCCAATAAAATATCACCAATCTATGTAAACGTATTCACCTGTTATATGGGGCATTTACTTCTATTTTCTCATCTGAAATATCAGAAAGATTAAAATGCTTCTTCATAAAAAGTGTTTTTAATAATAGCCCAATTGCTCAAAAATAGTTTCAGATAGAGGGTATGGAAAATAGCGCAGTTGGATATCTCTTGGTTAGCATGTACAATGTTATGGGTTCAAACCTCAGAACTACAAAGAAAATGCCGTAAGTGTGACTCTCTGAGCTAACCAGGTAACGAAGTAGCCAGCATGGCTGATCTTAAAACTATGTATTTTGTCCAGATTGTTTGAAATTTTAAAGGCTGCAACACAGCGTGTTTAGGAAGTGCACAAACTCCAGTACTTAAAAATGTTTTCAAAACATTGTGATTTTTAACAATTTTATTATTTTGTCTTTCATAAAAATTTCTAAACCAGGTGCATGAAGGGGAACCCATAAATGAAAATGGAGAACAAAACAAAGCTTCAAATAATGGAGGAAGTCTGAGTAAAAAGATGAGAGGCATCTCATGGACAATGAAGAAGAAAGTGGGGAAAAAGTACATCAAAGCCCTTTCTGAGGAAAAGGTAGGAGCACATTGACAATCATTTATGTTTTTCTATTACATTTTTTCTCTAAAAATATTAAATAGCTTTTTCTTCTGAATGTGAGTACATGTATTTGGTGCTTTATGAAGCAAAACTTAACCATATATTTCTCTCTCAGTCATTGTGCCCAAAAATTGGGGGGAAGAAAATATTAGCACTGGAGTTATTTACTCTACAATTCTCCTACTCATCTGGGGTAGCTGCCTGCCATCTCTCTATTCCTCCCTCCTCATCTTCAAACAAATTGTCTTCTTTCATAGAAAAAAAAAGAGAAAATATTATTGCCATCACTTTTTTAAAAATTTGGGTATAGGATTTCACTGGAGTGTTAACTTGCACACATTAGGCTCACACCTGAACCTCCTACCTCAGTCTTCTACAGTGCTGGGATTGCCGCATTCACAGCCATACCTAGTTTATTATCATTTTAATAAAAAGGGTGAATAATTGGAAAGCTCATGTATCTAGCATATGAAGAATCGTGTGCAATGTTTGCTCTAGAAAAGAGCACTATGTCTTTTTATTGCAAATAATATTCTATTTCCTAAACAACATGGATGTTCTTGTAACATTACATAGATGTTTGTGGTTGGCCTAGTTTTAGACTGTCATAAATATGCTGCTGCAAACATTTCTGTTTGATTTTTTATGTGGAAATATGTTGTTTTTCTCTTGGGCATGTGATATCTATATATTTAATATTTTGAGAAGCTAGTTATCTGCATCATTTTTGCATTCTAGAAAGGTATGAAGCAAGGTATGAAGCATTCTGATTTCTCCACATCCCTGCCAACTTTTGTTCCTTTTTAAAATGCTAACATTTTAATAGAGGTGAAGTGGACTCTCACTGTGGTTTTTACATAGATTTTTTTATGACAAATGATGCTGAGAATGTGCCCATGTGTTTGTACATAGCTTTGTCTTTTTTGAAGAAATGTTTAAACCTCTTACCCATTTTTAAATTGGTTTATCTTTTTAGTGGTCAGGTTTAAATATTATATAGTCTTTTTTTTTCTTTTTTGTAGAAGGTAAATGTGATATACTCTAAATAAATATTTTATTGGATGTCTGCCTTGGTAAAGCTTACCCATCTTTCTGTGAATTTCACTTTTATTTTCTTGTTAATATTCTTTGCAGCACAAGTATTATAATTTTGCTGTAATCAGTTTACCTTTTATAAATTCTGTAACTTTTACTTTGTGGCACACTGCCTAAGAAACCATTATTTATCATAAAGTCATAAAGGTTAAATTTTGGTGTATCATCTGTTTTAAATTAATTTTTCTATATGATATGTAAGAGAAATCCAACTGCAGTATTTTCTATGTGGCTATGATATGTCCCAGTTTCATTCATTTAAGAGACTGCTCTTTCCTTATAGTATTACCTCAGCACCCTAGTTTAAAATCAAATCACCATGAATATGGTTATAAATGTATGGATTATAAATATATGCATTTGTTTATGGAATAATTATATTTTGTTGACATATATATCTCATCTATAATTATCTATATCCTCTTTACTTATGTGTTATATTTGTATATAATGAACCTATATTTGTAATGAATAACCTTATTTAGATGTCCAATAGATCACTGAAACCTAATATACTCCAAACTAAAGTACTGATTCTCTACACTCCTACAAGAATAGTCAGTTTTTATTTAGTATTCCCAATGGCAACAGATAACATTTTCTTAAGTCTAGATACAAGAAATGAGAGAACAAGAATGACAGGGAGAAAGAGAGAGAGAGAGAGAGAGAGAGAGAGAGAGAGAGAGAGATAAAGCTAGAGATTATTTCTATCCAACTGTCATTTTTCACATTCATTAATAAGCATATCATCTTGATTTTAGTCTCCATGAAAACTGTTTCTATTTTACGCTGCATAATTAACTACCCTTGACTGGATTGCCATACCTTCTTAAATGCCTCCCTTTTTCCACTCTGTGCCCAGAAAAACCCATTCTCCACATGAAAGCTAGAAGATCTATGAAAAAGGGAAATCACACTACATCATGTCCCTAGTTAAAATTTCACATTATCCTCAAAATACATTCTTTCTACAGTATTTTTAATTGGGACTCTGGAGAAGCAGAACTTAAGAAGGGAAGAGAAACACTAAAAATTTATTGGAAAAATGTCTGTAAAGGACAAAGAAGAGGAAGAAAAATATGGACGGGAAATCTTTGCACTACAATGTAAATCTGACACCTGTAAAAGGAGAGAAGGAAGGAAGGAAGGAGGTTCAGTAGGAAGAATTTCAGACTTCAGTCCAGTTCTAAGAAAACTGGCAGATTGATGGCAAAACTGTGAACCAAAGTTTTCCATTAGAGGAGCTTCAGTCTCACCAAGTGAACTCAGAATGCTTGCACCTTCTCAATCACTAGGAAAGAACATTGCTTCAGTAAAAAAGACTGTGGTGGTACAAAATGTGAGATAACTGGAACTGTCAATGGATCAGTCCATTTTCTTAGGTTAAGAACACAATATCATAAACTGGATAAGTTGCGAAGAAAAGTGATTTATTTTGGCTCACAGTTTCGGCTCAGTATCAAAGCATCACATCTGGCAATGGCTTTCTTGGTGGCAGAATACCAACATGGCTCAGGATATCACATAATGAGAAAGAGCAAACATACACATATATGCATTTCTTGTCTCCCTCTTCTAAAAAAGCCACCAGAATTCAGTTACAGAGGTTTTATCCTGATGCTTTTATCTAATTCTAATTGCTTGTCAGAACCCATCTTAAAACACTGTTTCCCTCTCTTGATATCTCCCAATGGTTATTAAACTCCAACATCATTTTTTGAGGAAATGAACCATATTCAAATCAAGCACTTGTTATTCACTCCCAAGGTTGATGTTGATGTCCATCTCACCAGGTACAATTAAGCCAATAATGCAGTTTCTTACAGCAAGAAAACTAAATGGCATATTTCCATGGTCACCTCACAGAGCTTACAAAGCTGTTTATTAACTCGCTCTATTTTTCTGAATTCATATGCTAATATTCTCCTTTTTCTCTTAACATTGGTCTGAACAATTCAAAGAATTGGTGAGTTCAGGCATTTTGTTCTGACTGTTTCTTTTGCTCAGAGAACCATCTCTAATGTTTTACATAAGTCTTATCTTCTTATCATTGAGGTCAGCAACTCAAAGCACATATTAACTTATAGTAGAGATCTTTGGAGATGAATCCATTCAAATCAATCATCCTTCATTTTACCCTATTCCTCGTACTTATTCTCTCATATTATCCAGTTTTATTTCCATCATGGCACTTGTAATTCTCTGAAAGTGCCTTGGTTGTTTTTACCCACCTCCCCAAACATCTAAATGCATGTGCATATACAGCATATGCATGTAAATTGCCTAATACACTAGAATGAACCCCATCAGAGCAACAGCTAAGTTACCTTATTTCATTGTTTACCACGAACTTCCCAGTTCCTAGAACAGTGTTAAATACCTAAGGGATGTTCTGTGAAGCTGAATTAAATTACTGAATGAATAAATAAAAGAATAATTAGAATCAAAGTAAATGCACATTATATGTATATTCTGAAGTCTTTCCAAAGCTTAGAAAAGCTCAAAATGAGCATATTGAATTACATTTTGATGAATATTAAATTTGCAGTCTTTGTTCAAACTATCTAAATATGGAAAACATTTGAGATGTTTTCAAGAAAATGCAATTTGTTTTGAAATTGTCTGTCTTTTTTAATTTTATGCAAGATTTGCTTTTCACTTGACTAGGTGGCAAGCACGGTATGAGATTTGTAAAGCTCCTTAGATAAGCTTTGCTTTAGAATTGCAAAGTGTGCATGTTTTATTCGTATCTAGTGATCTGGTAGGGTGCAAAGAACTGACATGAAACAACTGTGCAGAGTTTAAACCTGTAGTATCTGATCTCAAAAGATTAGTAATGGCGATGAATAGATGAGAATGAGAACATGGAAAAGGAGAATCTGAAAAAGGAAAGGCGCTTCAACAGATAAGCACAGATGTCAATAAATCTAACCTTTCAGATTAAATAGCCTTGATAAGATATTCACCCTAATTTGCAAAAATAAGCCTTCATAAATTCAGTCAAATTCCACAGTAAGAAATGTCTCATCTAAGGAATTTTTCCAAGTATACTCTAAACTGTTTCACTAGAAATTGAAATAAAGATTAATGACACTCATATTTTATGCTGATGTATTCCTAAGTATTTTATTGCTAAAATATATCTTGTTTGTTAAATCAATGCACACATTTCCATGGAAATGTACTCTCTACACTTAACCCCTGATATGTTTCTCTAAAGGATGGGGAAGACGGAGAGTTTGCTCTGCCATGTGGGAACAGTGACCCCGTGATTGGGACCCACACAGAGAAGGTCACGCTCAAAGCCAGCGACTCCATGGATAGTCTCTACAGTGGGCAGAGCTCATCAAGTAAGGCCGATGAATAAAGGGCACAGTCCTAGCTGTGAGGTCTGGGTGAAATTAATTATAAAACAACAAACTTTCCTCTCTAGGCTTGTATATAAAATTAGTAATAGGTTCCAGTAGTTTGAGGAAAAACGGTGAAATATATTCAATCTACATGGTAGATTCATGATAGATGCATTGAATCTACATGGAAATACTATTATTCTAGTAATATATATTTCAATTATGCATTAATAATTTTTTTGTGCTCTAGTCAGCAAAGTTCTTGGGATTATGTCCCCAAATAGTTGTGTTGGATAATTACATTTTTTATTTGAGATTTAAAAAAAAAAAGATCAGATGTTTCAAATGACTTTTGCTGCTAGTTTCCTATTGGGTACAGAACAGTTAATGTAAAAACAATCTAACGCAGACATTTTTGAAGGATGTATTTTTATATATGTAACATTCAGATTTCCTAAGTATTCATTTCAGATAGAAGTTTTAAAATTCTAAATAGTGATTCCTATCATGGGGAAAATCGTATTTACTAGAATGCAGCATAAAACTACAGGACTGGATTCATCATGGAGGGGCGGGCAGGAGGTGATAGTCTCCCACTTAACATATTACCTTGTACAACTCAATTTCTGTGATTAGACACAACTATTTTTCCTTTATCCAAGTTTGCATAAAATTTGGAGCTTCTCAAAGCATCTTTACCTTACTATCATAATGACTGGTAGTGTACCTTAAGCTGTTCCTTTCTTAACCAGAGCACTAAAAGGCCAGCTTGTGGGGAAAGATTGGTGAGAAAAGAAGAGAAGAATATCCCCTGAGAACTATTCTTGCCTGCATTTGGGCAAGTAGCAAGAGAAATTCACTCACTTTTCTTTCTGAGCTTCAAAATCAGAAAGGAAATCAGAACACAAGGATTTGGAGCAGTATTTTTTTATTTGTTTTAATGTGATAATTTTTAAAAGCCCAGTTTCAATCTACTTGGTGGTGGGGTTCAGCTCTTCCTACACAATTCCTCCTTCCTTCACATGCACAGTACAAGCCAATGCATCACTTTTTATGTGCAAAGACCTTGCCTCAAAATGGCCATGCCAAGGAACTGAGAGGTTGGGAACTTTTGCAACAATTGAAGTATTTTTAGAGAGCTTATACTTTAACCGTCTGTGATCAATAGTGCTCATACAAAGACCAAACTCTTGCTATCGATTTCTGTCATGATTTATATTTAAGGTTTCAAGTAGCCCAGTGGACAGAGCTCACCAACAGAGTACACTTGAATGGCAAAACAAGATCGGAATCTGGTCTTTCAGTGTCTGGACCATGTTCAGAGGGTCAGAGACTTCGATAGTGACCATTAACCTCTGCTTTCTTCAGGTGGTATAACAAGTTGTTCAGATGGCACAAGTAACCGGGACAGTTTTCGACTGGATGATGACAGCCCCTACACAGGACCATTCTGTGGTCGGGCCAGAGTACACACAGATTTCACACCAAGTCCCTATGATACCGACTCCCTGAAAATCAAGGTAAGCCAATAGTACATCTGATTTAGGAATAGTCTGTCAAATGCTGGTTTATGATCTGTTTCGGAAGTAAAGAAATGGGAAAGATGTTTGTGTGTTCTTCCCAACGGTTGAAGGGGGGAATTCCGGTTATAGTAGCAGCATTTTTAATAGAACACAGGTAGTATCAGAGATCAGTTTCCTCAGCCTATTAGCAGAAGTTGTTGCTAGATGAGCAAAGGGAATTGTGTACTTTTTCTGAAAACTTAAAATCTCATGCCTGGTATGATTGGTGCATTCCTATAATCTCAGCCCTCAGGAGACTAAGGCAGGAGGGTTGTTGCAGGTTCAAGACCAGCCTGGACTACAAAGTTTGCTCAGGCCAGCCTGAAGTGCATAATGAGACCCTGATTCAGAGAGAGAGAGAGAGAGAGAGAGAGAGAGAGAGAGAGAGACAGAGAGAGAGAGAGAGAGAGAGAGAGAGAGAGAGACAGAGAGAGAGAGAGAGACAGAGAGAGAGACAGAGAGAGAGACAGAGAGAGAGACAGAGAGAGAGAGTCAGAGAGTCATAGAGATAGAGACAGAGAGACAGAGACAGAAAACAAAAGAAAATTTTAAAATCTCCTATGTTGTTGGAGCTACCTAAATCAACTTGATAGTTTCTAGAAAGAAAGAATGGAGTTACAGAAAAAGAAATAAGATAGAATACAGGCAGCAGCACAGAGAAGCAATGTACTTGGAGTCATAGTTGGCTGGACAACTCTTAATTCTTTTCAAGTTGATTGCCCTAATTAACCACATATCTTTTTCCCAATGATATCCTATCTTGGATTTATTCTTCTTGGCTTTATCTGCTGTATTCATTTTGATTGTTATGTAATGAATTGACCCAAATTCATGGTTTTTAGAACATAAATCAGGGTATGGCTCTGCTGGGTTCTCTCCTTAAGGACTCAGATGGCTGAAATGAAGTTGTTACCTAGTCTGTGATCTCTCTCATCTATAGGGCAGTAACCTCCTTTAAGTTCACTTGACTGTTGGCAGAATATAGTCCAGTGTAGTTGTGCAAATCATGCCCTGGGCTTCTTGCTGGGTATAAAGCAGAGGCCATTCTTAGTCCTTTGGAGTCCACCAGTCATGGAGCTCTCTAATAACATGGCAGCCAATTTTTGCAAGACTATCAAGAAAACAAAAGACTATCAAGAAAAAAGATGATACATGCTTCAGTGTCTATTGTGAAAAGGACCTCACATGATTAAGTTAGATTCACCCAGCTAATATCCCTTTTAATTAACTCAAAATCAGCTAATTTAATGTATCATTTGTAGAGTTTCTTCTGACACAATCAAGTAACACAATCAAGTTTGAAATCCATCTTTTGGTTACCCTGAACACTATAAAGACACAGTGCCGATTACAACAGTACAAATAGAAGAAGGCTTCATGCTGAAGTATTTTATAGATGTTAAATCATGCCTTTTAGTGTGACAAAGCATTCTAAGTGAAAAAAACACACAAATTATATATTTTCTATATCATTAACACTAATTCATTGTTAACTAATGATTATGATATGAAATATTGATGTTATTTCATATGTAAGGCACTCAGTTTACTTATTCCCTTCTATATGACAAATCAGAGCAAACTCAGAGAAAAGAGAAAAGACATTGTTCTCCACAGCTAGTTCTTTAGCATCTGAAAAGACTTGGAAGCTTAAATTCAAGTCTTGGGGATGACTGTACTTCTCCATAATATAATTCAGTGTTCCACTTCAGGCGCTCCCTGGGCTGATTTCTGTGGAGCTAGTACACAACCTCCAAGGATTCCATAGTTACCACTGACAACTGAAACATTGTTTCTAGCAGTATTTTTATCTGAAGTAAAATTGAGTCTTTGCTTGGGTGACCTGTGAGTTTTCAGAAATAGGTACATTTACAAGTTAAGCAGTGTAAGTTACAAGTTTGCAAGTTTTAAGGAAAATAGGAAGGATTCAGAAAAAGTGGTCAGACCTGGTAATTTTCTGGATCTTTTGGGGGATTTCCTCCTCAGCTTAGTGGTAGCATCTGCCCTATGATTTAATTTCCTGTAGTTAAAAGGCAGGAAAACTGAGACTTAACAGATCGGAGGTCTAGACAGGCAGATGATCATAAATCAGAAATAATTACATCATTGAACCACATCAAATTGTTAAATTACAAATAAAATTTGTGTTTTGTACCAATGATACATTCACAAGTCAGCAGGAAAATATATATTTTATTAGTACATTTAATGCAGTGTTAATAAAATGTGGCATAACTATTAGAATCAGTATCATCCTCTCTGAGGCAGAGAAATCCAAGACTCAAAGGCATAACTAGCATACTCTTACATGTAGACCCTTATTTGCATAGTATTCTGTTTTCTGTAACAAGAAGCACTCTCAGGGGAGTTTCTAATTTTGCCAATAACTGCTGGCATGTAGTCAAATACAGTCTAAGACGAAAATAAACAAAATACTGTTGTTTTAGTCATACTTAAGTGCAAACTTTTTATGGAGTTCATTCTAAACATTACATATTTTTGATAAGAAAAGACACTAAGTATCATAATTAAGTGTGCACATATTTGATGAGTCCTACATAATTTTATTCTTTTGTATATATGAACTACATTAGAGGGATTTATTGTATACTGAAAATGAATTCTATCTGATGAGCTAGAATCACAGAGCCACAGAATTCTGTTTCTTGCTGTTTTCCTGCAGAAAAGCCCTTCCAAAAATAACAATAATGCTGCTTTCATAATATCAGTAAAAGGAACATCATTTTTAAGTTCAGAAAACTTGAGCTTGAGTTGTCATCAACTTGCTGCAAACTCTTGAAAAGTCATTCACTATCTCTTGCAGTTTTCAGAAATATTTCAAATAATAAAGTGATACTTCATATATGTTTCTAAGAGGTACATTGTTAATATAGAATGACTTAGTGCATTCAAAATTGTTCTGTACATTATACTATGCTCTGCAAGTATGTTACACTGATATAATAAAAACAGAAGAGTGCTAGTGTATGTGTATAAGATTTTCTTCAAGCATTTTTAAGTTTTCTTTATTATTACTGGAAAATATTTTCCTTAACAAGTAAACTCAATGTGGTTTTTTTTTTTTTTTTTTTTTTTGTGACATGATTTTGCTATGCAGTTGAACTCACTTTGTAGCCCAGGCTGGTCTTGAAATTGCCATCTTCCTGTTTTAGCCTACTGAGTGCTAGGATTCCAAGTGTGTGCCACTACTTCTGACTCTCAGATCTATTATTGATATTTTTGAGCCTGGTTATCATAATGTATTCATTACTCTAAATTTCAATCATTGTTTCTACCAATCTTCATAGGCCTATACTGCTTTAACTCTAATTTGTATTTGTGGATATCTTTGCCCTTAGAAAGGAGACATCATAGACATCATCTGCAAAACGCCAATGGGAATATGGACGGGAATGTTGAACAATAAAGTAGGAAACTTCAAGTTTATTTATGTTGATGTCATCTCAGAAGAGGAAGCAGCCCCTAAGAAGATAAAGGCACACCGAAGGGGTGAGAGGGAAAAACCTAAGACTCTTCAGGAGTTCTTAGAGAAGATTCACCTTCAGGTTAGCCGCTCCTTGACCTGTTTTTCATGGCATATGAATGAAGTAATTGATGAGAGCTGATCAGTGTTTGCACAATGTTGTTTAAAAATATAAGACTTACAGCAAAGAAAAATCTGTTTTCCTAGAACAGCTCTTATTTCTCTTTTATTACTTTTATTATGCAAGGACAGCTCTTGATATAACATCTTAGACTAAATGCTAATGGTACTTAGCAGTGACAGTAAGGATTAATGTTGAGAAAGTGTAGTGAAAAATGAAAAATATCTAGGAGAATAAAAGAACAGGGAAAAATGTCTAACTGAGAAAGAGAATACAGAGTAAAAGTAAGAGGCCAGAAGAGTGAAATGAAAAATGACAGCAGAAATCAAAATCAAGGTTCAGAGAAGATAACTAAATAGGATCATTTAAACAGTGATTATTAAGCCTTTTAATAACTATGTTCAGAAGACTGTACTGTATAGTTTATTTTTTCATATTACATGAGTAAAATTTGTACGAAATATCTACCTTTTAAAAAGGTGTGCATACATTATACCTAATCTTACTCGATTTACATTTTTGTAACCCACTTCTAAAATTAACTTACATATTTTGATAAACAGGACGCATAAAGGCAATAGCCAATTAAAGCTTCTTTATAAAAGTTTTTTTTAAATTATTTTGAAGGTATTAAAATACAACAGAACTAGATGGGACAAAGCCAGTGTAGACAGTGTAGTGAAGTTGGTACAGAACTTCACAGCAGGTTACCGGGATAACAGTAATCGTTACCACAATGTATCTCGTTATTTTCACAATAGTTGTTCTTTAAATCAGGTATAGCAAAATAAAGTGAGATACAGAACATTATAGAACTTATCAAAACAGAATGTTGAATAGAGAAATACCATTAATCAGAATGAAGCAAAACAGTGGTAAAAATATTTGCCTTCAAAGAGATGGTAGAAGGAAATCCCCCTTATTTCTATATTGCATGTGGTCAACCTCCCAAGAGATGCTCAGATCTCTGGCTCCCATTAGCTAATGGAGGGTGGAAGAGGGGTGAGATGTTTGACTCTCAACCCTTCAATGGTAGGCTCACTAGCGCTTAGCAGGGAGGCAAGCTGCTTGCTTGGTTTCCCAGAGCCCTAAGTTCCCACATGGTGTGGATTGCAGGAGTCACTGGTGATTCTCCCTCTGGGGTGGTCGCTAAAGTTTTCCTTACTGATTTTTTGAACTACCTATTTACCTTTCTTGTCTGTACATATACTATCTAAGCAGTCCAACATTATTATTAGCGTATCCCAGAGGAAGTATACTTTTGAATCCTGTTTCTATACTTGTTCTGTCATTTACAGAAAAGTCAGTATCTAAGAGAATACATGACTTATTCAACAACCAATTGTCAGATGGGTTTGTCAGAATATAAATTTTCATATTCTGTGTTCCAATTCTAAGTTAGGACTCTTATCAAATTTACTTTTTTTTTTCCAAAAGAACTGCCCATACTTTTTATTGCTAAAATAGGATTGATAATGAGGTCTTCTGGATTACTCAAAACTTTTAGACTTTCTCATATTGTTTTAGTAACTACAATAAAAACATTGAAACTATGATCAAGTGAAATGGGAGGATTTTTTGAGAAATTTGAAAAAGTATTTAATTTCTTTGAATTTTCATCCTGGTACTGTACAAATGACATACAGATAAGACTAAATTAAAAATCTACAAATTTTACATTAATATATTAATGAAAATGATGAACAAAATATACATGCTGAAAAAGGAAACAATGCTTTCCAACTCACTGTTTTTACGTTTAATAAAAATTTTAATTAAGTAGTTTGTGACAGTTTTACCTAATGTGTCTCAATCAAACTGTTAAACCCACTCTGTATATAGAATTGTGTCTGTTTTAAATTCATTTTTAACCAACTCTAAGAAGTTAGTGAAGGTGTATATTTTTGTGATGGATAAATAAGAAGATACGTAATTCAGAAATAGTAATACAAAATACTCTTATAGGCATCATTGATAGACTTAAGAAATGCAACTTCTGTCTGTTTAAAAAGTTGAGAACTGAAATTATGTCAAATGGGATGTATGATACAGCTATTAAATTAACTCATGATTTAACATTGTACAGAGTAAGGTAATTATGTCTTCTTATGTTTCATCTTCCAGAAAGTGAGAATTATGCAACACACTGTTTTATACGCCCTAGAGTTCATGTGTGGAAAGCTAGTACAAGTCAAATAAAGTCAAACGAAAGTTATATTGGCATCTCTGGTTTCTATATACTTTGTTTAAACCCAATGAGAACTAAAAATAAAATATTTGAATCTTACTACTTTACATTGCATTAACATATTTTTTTCTTCCCATAGGAATACACCTCAACACTTTTGCTTAATGGGTACGAGACTCTAGAAGATTTAAAGGATATAAAAGAGAGTCATCTCATTGAATTAAACATTGCAAACCCAGAAGACAGAATGAGGTTACTATCAGCGGCTGAAAGCTTCCTTGATGAAGAAAGTAAGTGTACACATCTACTTTTTTCCCTGGTTGATAATCATGGCTTAAAGTAAATAGTGAAATGATTAAAACCAAAGCCCCAGTTTTATTTACTGAGAATCACATAAAGTATTATTTCCATAAAGTAAGAATTTGCATGTAACCTTGGAAGCAATGACTCTGATCAAATCTATAATTGGAGAAAGAGATTTTTTTCCTGATTGGACTCAAAAATAAAAGGGCTTTTCTGGGTCCCTCATTTTTATTTTGAAGAACTCTTAATTTATATGCAAGTGAATGCCTGCATTCCCAAAGACTGAAGGAGTCAGAGACAAATATTTAGTGACAGCATGAGCCATTAGTGAGAAATGTCACACATGGCTTCTGTGGAACAACACAGGGCATGTCAGGAACCTAATGAGCCTTTGCGCCACACAGGAAAATTCATTTCATTACCATACAGCCACATTTTGCATGTATTTATTGTACTCTTTCAAAATGTTATAACAGCTTGCAAAAATATTCAGCACTCACTTTTATTATCTAAGATGATTTTCTGTATTTGAAGTATAAACGGGAGACGGAATAATACTTATAAATTCACTTATGGCAGAGTGCTAGCTATGCCAACTAGGATTGCAAGGATAGAATAGCTTTTATTTTTATAACTAGTCATTCAGGACTCACTTCCTACTAAACCTCTTCAAGCCCGCAAATCCTGAGCTTGGAGTGTTCCAATTTATTCAGAGCATTTTAGGAAGGAAAATGGGTAACGAGTGTGGTGAGTCTAAATTTAAAGATGAGAAAGAAGTTAGATCATTAAAACCAGACTTCTCTTTCAAAATTGATATTAGTAGTAATTATTAACTAGTTCATTTATTGGAATGTGTGTTCTGAATAAAACTTTAGGCAAGGTCTTTATATTCATTTTTTTTATTAGTGTTCTTCATAGATCTCTTAAGTAGATATTACAATCTCCACTTTTAAAATGAGAAATTGAGATAAATAACTTGTCTAAGCTCAAACTCCTAATGAATTGTAGAGTTAAGATTCCAACCCAGTGTTTAAAAAAGCTGTGCTATACTTTCTAAGACTGCAAACTAACAGCCCAGATGGAGAGTGAGAAGGAAACTTGTATTTATATCTAGACCTCCTGACTTCCTTTGTGGGCTATCCTATACCCTCTGTCATAAATCTGACAAAATTTGGACACAGCACATGTTTTCTATACATTTGCTTTTTATATAGTAAAAATTCATTTACTTTTTTAGAAACTTGCTTTATTTGTACTTGGTATCTTGTGTTTCCATAGCTTTTCATCCATTTTCCAAGGATGTACACGTACATGTACTACTAACTGAACAGAAGTAGAAATCATCATTGGACCTAGGTTCTTACGCTCTTTCTTTGTAATTTTGGTGACTTGGTGATGCATATAAGGAGATAATAGATTCACAAAGGTAGAGAAAATCTAACGTTTCTGAGTTTACCTAAAGTAGCTGATTTCCTCAATAGTAGCAGCCACTCAAAAACTGACCTTTGTAAGTTGATAGTGGTGATATCTTTTAGGTAAATAACAGTTTCTCTTTCATCTTGTCAGTTCAACACCTCACACTTCACTAAACATTTGGCTACAAAGGTGATTCTGTAGATTTCTTCTATTGATCATGTTCAGTTTCACTGCCAGTACTGTCCAAAGTAATTTGATTATGCAGTATAAGGACAGAGAAGACTATTATTAAACCCTTGCAAAAAGTTATTTTTCTTCAGCAGTAGCATAAATTTAGGTATTTTGTCCAATTTACAGATGAGGAAACAATGCAGAAATGAATTTTAAAGAAGTCAATCAGCTAAATAAATTGATATTGTCAATTAGCTAAAAAATTGCTATTATATAAAGGACAAATCCCAGAAATTACTTCCCTCTATAAAACTTTAGATGGGATTTTAATCAAATGTAGACTGCTATAAACGCAAAGTTCTGTCTTCCACATAAGCAAACTGCAAAACATAAAAACAGTGAATATTTAGAGATGGAAATCTTCTGCTCCTTCAGTTTTCCCAAAAGCTTCAGCTCAGTGTTACATTTCAGAAGGCAGAAGTCAATGTTTAAAAGTAAAACTGGCAACAGCAGAGCTCCCAGAAAGTTGAGAGGCTTCTCTAGCTGCCCGCCACACAACAGACTTATGAAGAGAATATTTTGGGAGCCAGCCAGCTGCACTTAAGTAATGCAACCGTCAGTACGCAGTAGGTACCCACCCCCCAAAGGAAGATGGGTGCAAGGCCAGAAGTTACATTTACCCCACTTCTGTATTCTTACTTCTCACATCATTTTTCTGTATTGACCAAAATATGATTATTTACATGGGATCCCAAATTGAAGGGTGGGTGTAATTAAAAACAACAATAATAGCAAAAGCTAACAATAACAACAACAAAGCACATCTTACCCAAGTTCTTCCTTTGCAAAATGGGAAAAATAGAGTCCAAATAGCTATGTGGCTTAAAATCATGCTCCTGGAAACTGGTGTCTTAAGCTCATCTGAAATACGTTCCACTCTACCCTGGTCTCTGAAAACAAAACGTATTATTTTTTAAGCATGATCTGACTGCAGTGTTTGCTATTGTAGAGAGGACAAGTATCAGAAATTACTTTCTTCTATAGAACTTTAGAAACTTATATATGAAGATCAAGAGGAGCTGATACTGAATAACAGTCATATATAAACATGCACATGCACAGCCAGATTCTCACACATGAAAGATAGAAAAATGCAGATTCAACTGGTGTTATTTGGCAGTTCACAACCCTGAGGTTTTCCCATTTTAATAATATGATCTAGTAGTATTAAAATATACATGTCAGAAAGATATATATTGGATGTTAGGCTATTGTGACTGAAAGCTATTTATCTTATATGAAACTGCTTTGTTCAAGGAATAAAGAAGAATGACTTCCATTTGTTGATAAGATAGTGAATTCTGATGATTTTTTAACATGCTGCTGCATGCGTCTTTTTATCTGTCCTAAATTCTGTGAATCACATCCTCTACAACCATGCTAAAGATTAAACACATAACCTTCAGGTTCTTTGAATGATAAATACCTTGAATATATGGTTGTATAAAGCTGTGACATTATTTAAAAAAAAAAAAAACTAAAGTACATCAGAGTCACAGGTTAAAAATAGGCTTTATTTTTTAAAAAGCATGGAGTATGCAAGATGGACAGGATTTTATGTGAATTTTTAATTTAATCATTGAGTAATGCTAATTTGAAGGATTTCAATAAATTATTAGCTTAAGTTTTAATTATTTTTAAGTTAAGGACTTGGAAAGTTTTTGCTTTGCTAATCATTCAAATAAAAGTTGAGTCAACTGGGGATATGTCTTAAGGAATACAGTCAAAATTTGGAGATTATGCAGGAAAGACCAAGTTTTATGTGAATCTTCAGTGCAGCTCGAGAAAGTTAGAGGACAGATGATAGGACAGGGGGAAAAAACAGGAGGTGTAATATTTACAACAAGAAGGTTTCTGTTTTCTTAGCCTGAGATAGCCAGCATTGTCCCCACTTTGACCTTGAGTGGGTAAAGCTGGATTAACTTTTTAGGTCACTGCTTGGCAGGAGGTAGATCCTTCCCCACCAAACTGACAGAAGGGCTAGGAAGCAGTGTTAGAACTGATCACAGGATTACTGCTGAAGGGGATAATGACTTTGGGGTTCTGCAATCCCAGCAAGACAAGAAGCAAGATGCAGAATTTGCTCCTCTTGTAATAGAACTGAGCAAAATTAGGGCATTGGCTCCCTCAATTGGGAATCTAGATAAATTTAGATGGAATAAAAATTGAGTGAGAGCCAGCTTTTGAATAAGAAAAAACAAGATACAAATCTGTTTATTTTGTGCATATTAGGGTTTCTATATTTGTTATCTGACTTTAAAAGTCATTTGCTTACTTTGGGAGTAAATATTTCCAGCAAACGAAGATGTGAATAAAGAATGTATGCTCATGCGCTTGTGTGTTTGCATAAACACAAACCTTGAAGCTTGTTTGCCTTTCTGAAAAGTGCTTTCTTAGGATAATAAAATGGCTAACTGCTGTTTATTGTATATATTTCCCATCTATTGTGCAGTTGTCACTTTCCACATTTAGAAGCATTTTAATGTATCTTAAAATTGTGCCAACCAGAGTGTGTACTATTGTCTTTGGGGAAAATGCGCAATGGAAATAATTTTCCTGACGTACAGAGAAAATTAAATTTCAAATGAAGAAAATAGCAAGGAAGTAAGCAAACTTTACAGAAATCTGTTACAATGTATATCAGGTACCTGCAAACTCTGATTGCAGGGTTAAATGAGGAAGACGAGGACAGAGTAGATTGTGAGCCAGGTCGCTGGCACAAGTTGTGGGTAGTGGCCCTGCATTGCTCAACCATCCCCAGTTGTGGCAGGCAGGGCAAGCGTTGGGCACAGTCTGGTGCTGAATGATGAGCCGTCAGCAAGGGAGAATTTTATGGATAGGCCAAACAGCAGTCCAGCAATTGGCCTAATGGAGAGCCAGGCTAGCCGGGTCCCAGCCCCTGACCTGGGTAGCTGGGGTTTCTACTGCACTTGCCATATGATTTGAATTTGAACTGAAGAAATGTTTAGCTTTTAAGAAAAAAAATAAGATAGCCATCCACGTAGAGAAAAGGCAGATGTTCTACTTGTGCGTATTTACAAATAAGATTTAAGATCTATTTATAGTTATATCTGTTTGGTTTTATTTAATTTCTTAGATTAGATTTATTTTTGGCTGTGGTCTCTATTCTGTTTATAACAGAGACCATGTTCAGTATAATACAAACAAAGTGAAATGTAAGCAATTTTTACTCTTTAACAGAAAATATTTTCTAGAGAAAAAGGTTCACGATTTTTCACCTGAGTTACCTAAGGACTTTGCAAGACCTGTATCTATAGAACATCCACTTTGATTGTGTCCTATGCATGATATTGAAATGATTATCCTAACCGAATGAACC